ATAAGGAGCTCCTGAGGAAAATTCAATTGAAAAAAAGAGGCTTATAATAAGTGGAAGCAAGGACAGGTGGCATGGGAGGAGTACAGGGATGTTGTCCGGGAAGCTAGGGACCAGGTTAGGAAAGTGAAGGCCCAGTTAGAATTAAACTTGGCTAGGGATGTTAAGGATAACAGGAAGGGATTCTACAGGTACATAGCAAATAAAAAACAAACAAGGGAGAACGTAGGCCCCCTCAGGAAGCTCTTGGGAGAACTGGCTACACAGGATTTGGAGAAGGCTGAGGTTCTTAATGGCTTCTTTGCCTCGGTCTTCACTGGCAAATGCTCTGACCACACCACCCAAGTCTTGGAAGGCAGATGCAGGGACTGTGAGAATGAAGACCTTGCGCCCACTGTAGGAGAGGATCTGGTTCGAGACCATCTTAAAAATCTGAACTTGCACAAGTCCATGGGACCTGATGAAATCCATCCACGGGTCCTGAAGGAGCTGGTGAGTGAAGTTGCTAAGCCACTGTCCATTATATTTGAAAAGTCATGGCAGTCAGGTGAAGTTCCTGACACTGGAAAAAGGGAAATATAACCCCCATTTTCAAGAAGGGGAAAATGGATGACCCGGGGAATTCCAGACCAGTCAGTCTCACCTCTGTGCCTGGCAAAATCTTGGAGCAGATTCTCCTGGAAGGCATGCTAAGGCACATGAAAATCAACAAGGTGCTTGGTGACAGCCAGCATGGCTTCACTAAGGGGAAATCCTGCCTGACCAATTTGGTGGCCTTCTATGATGGGGCTACAGAACTGATGGACAGGGGTAGAGAAGTTGATGTCATCTACCTGGACTTGTGTAAAGCATTTGACACCGTCCCACACGACATCCTTGTCTCTGAATTGGTGGATGGACCACTCGGTGGATAAAGAACTGGCTGGATGGCCACACACAAAGAGTTGTGGTCAATGGCTCAGTGTCCAGCTGGAGACGAGTAACGAGTGGTGTCCCTCAGGGATCGGCGTTGGGACCGGTCTTGTTCAACATCTTTGTCGGTGACATGGACAGTGGGATTGAATGCGCCCTCAGCAAGTTTGCTGATGACACCAAGCTCTGTGGTTCGGTTGATACCCTGGAGGGAAGGAATGCCATCCAGAGGGACCTTGGCACGCTTGTGAGGTGGGCTGATGCCAACCTCATGAAGTTTAACCATGCCAAGTGCAAGGTCCTACACCTGGGTCGGAGCAATCCCAGGCACAGCTACAGGTTGGGCAGAGAAGAGATTCAGAGCAGCCCTGAGGAGAAGGACTTGGGGGTGTTGGTTGATGAGAAAATGAACATGAGCCGGCTTCAGTGTGCGCTTGCAGCCCAGAAAGCCAACCGTATCCTGGGTTGCATCAAAATGAGCATGACCAGCAAGTCAAAGGAGATGATCCTGCCCCTTTACTCCGCTCTTGTGAGACCTCACCTGGAGTATTGTGTGCAGTTCTGGTGTCCTCAACACAAAAAGGACATGGAACTGTTGGAACAAGTCCAGAGGAGGGCCATGAGGATGATCAGGGGACTGGAGCACCTCCTGTATGAAGACAGGATGAGGAAGTTGGGGCTGTTCAGCCTGGAGAAGAGAAGGCTGCGTGGAGACCTCATAGCAGCCTTCTAGTATCTGAAGAGGGGCCTATAGGGATGCTGGGGAGGGACTCCCATTAGGGACTGGAGTGATAGGACAAGGGGTAACGGGTTTAAACTTAAACAGGGGAATTTTAGATTGGATCTAAGGAGGAAATTCTTTCCTGTTAGGGTGGTGAGGCACTGGAATAGGTTGCCCAGGGAGGTTGTGAATGCTCCATCCCTGGCAGTGTTCAAGACCAGGTTGGACGAGGCCTTGGGTGAAATGGTTTAGTGTGAGGTGTCCCTGCCCACGGCAGGGGGGTGGAACTAGATGATCTTAAGGTCCTTTCCAACCCTGTCTATTCTATGATTCTATGATTTCTGTTTGCTTGCTTTTTTTCTTCATGGAGCGTTTTTTACTGTGAGTGCTTTTACCTCTTTTCCCCCTATTTTACAATAGTCACTATGGGTCTGATGTACCATTGCAACTTCTTATCTTGCTGCTGTAAGTCCTGTCAGGCAGCACCAGGAACGTGTTTGACCCAGGGAATTATTTAAGCCTGTAGGTAGACACTGGAGATGAATTAAGGTAAGGATGGCAAAGCCAAGTTGTTCACTGGGACTCTCTGAGAGAAAATTAAATTCTTGACACATCTAACTGAAACTTATTGTTTTCTTTATGGTAAAAAGACTTACATGTACAATGTGTGAGATGGCAAATGCATATTAAAACCAGAAGAACTACAAAACAAATTACTAGAATAAAACTGCTAGAAACATGATATAATTTGTGGGTTTATTGTGTTGAAAAGTGTGTCTCTGATTTTCCCTGCTTGGGTCTTCACATTCTTCCTTAAGAGTTCATCGAAACTAAGTGATGACAGAACTTGCACTGCTTCATACACAGTGTTTTATTTTATATTTGGATATCACTGCGGTGTGATCAGTGGGGACAAGCTATTTTCCTGCTCAGGACCCACAGAACAATCATGTGTTGGACACTGGGTAAATATACTGAGCTGGCTGGAAGCCTGCTTAGCTGCTGCTGGTGGCTGACAGCTGCTCTATGGCATTGGCTGCAGCCCACAGCAGAAGGCGGTACAGGAAAGCTCAAACTGCAGGATTTTTCCAGCAAAGTCTATGCATTTCTTATGTGCAGAGGTGAGCACAGGTAAAAATCAACACAGACTTCGGTTTTGTGGGATTATATATGTCAGAAAGGTTTTGTAGAACCAGGGTTGATATCTCTCTGCACTGGTGCTGGATTTCCACTCATTTTGTACTAGGGTCTTCTTGTGAATCCCCTGCTGGAGCAGTTCAGTGGTACTTAAAGGGATGGCATTTCTGTAATTATCTGATTATTGCTCCAAGGTTCTTTCCTGTGCTTGCTAAACCTTTATTCCAGTGAAAGTATAACCCACACTATTGAAGTTGAATAAAATGTGATTGAGAATCAACAGTAATTTCCCAGTAGTCTTTGGAGCAGGTACTGTTGGCTCTCTTTCATCTTTTCTGTTTTGAAAACATGGAGCTCAAACCTGGTCATTCTGAATAGAGTGAAAAATTTTTAAGGTACTGCAGTGTGGTAGTGAGGTTGTGATTCTCCATTAGATTCTTTACATTGGCTTAAAAAAATTCATGGGACATCTATTAAATTCTGAAATTTTCACTAATGAATCAACAGTGAAATGGATCCTATTTAAATTCAGCAACCTTTCACTTACTTCCCCCTTACTTGATCTTGGCTGGCTTGTTTTAATTCTTTCATAAGTTCCCTTCTCCTGTGTGAGACATGGGAGTCTAATACAGAAAAAAGAAAAATGAAAAGAAAATGAAAGATGAAGACTATCTTAAGTTACTTTTCCCTTGGTTCTTACTTTTTAATTCCCTTCACTTTTCACTATCAGTCATGAATATTATATCTTCATTTGAATTTTCAGCTTCTGAATCATGAGCAGCTGAAGATCCAGTAGTACTGTGTTACTGGATATAACTCAAAGGGTTATGCTGTTTTTACTGTTTGGCACATACTCAGGAACAGGAACTTAGCTAAGCAGTTGAAGCATATGGCAGGGGGAGATAGGCCAGTATCTTGGATGAAGATGCATATATTTTGTACTCTCATGGTATGATGCATTCTTGTGCTTTGCAGATGGCACCTTGGAATTGTTGCTCTGAAAACTAATTTTGCCTAGCCACGCAGGTCTGCTGACACAAGCACAAGGATCATCTGTTTCTGTGCAGACACTACTGCATGCTGCAGATATCCTAGGCAGGAATATTTCTGAGAAGCACACCTGCATCTTGGTTTCTTTGGGTAGCAGAAAAAAACCTCAGGAACCTATGACTAGCATTCGTACCCAGAGAAGATAATTCAACCAAACACAATCTCTATCTTCATGTAATATTTGGTTACTGCTTCTCCTAGAAGTTTGTTACAGCATAGCTGTCAGGGCAAGCATAGAGGGAATACATGGATTTTATGACAGCTGGAAAGAGGGGTTCATTCTAATTGACAGAGACCTTTGATTTGCTTTTGATTGTTCCCTGTGTACAAACCATCAGTCCTCAGAGAAACTGCATTTATATCATGTAGGGCTTATAGCACTAATAGCGGCACTCTCCAAAACTTACTTTTGCTCTGTCTCTGCCTCTCTGTCCCCCACAAAACAAGCACATTATATGCGCAAGTGGCCCAAGAGCTTGCTGGAGAGGTTTCAGGTAGTAAATTCTGTCAGCTAACAGAACTGCAGGTTAAGGTATGAATACTTTCCGTTTTCTGGAATAATTTGCATTACTTAAAATCATGTCAGGTACAACTTTTTAAAGGACTAGCCTGGGGTGCAGTTTTTCACAGAATTGTATTGCTTCCTCTCCTGTCCTCTTATTATTTGCTGAGCTGTCTCTCTGAGCTCAGACAGGTAGATGTATTTTTAAAGACCAATTTGCTGCATGTGAGGTGGGCCTTGTACTAGCTGGTACTAGCTCGTACTGCCAGGTCTTCTTAGTTTTCTTTCTCCCCTGCCCCCAAATTTCTGTGATCTCTGTAGGACAATAGTATTTAGTATTAGTCTGTGCTTTTTGCTAGATATCCTGAAACAGTTTGGCAGCAAATAAAGTCAAGGGTTATAGACACAAACAGTTAAATACTATTGAGTACCTGCAACAGGCGAGCTAAAGGAGAAAGAAGTCTGAGTTAAAAACAGATCTGCCAAGCAATGAATGCGATACTGCCTGGAGTAATGTGAAAATACCAGCTTATTGTGTATCAAGGGGGTTTTCTTTACTTTTTAAATTTGGACAATGATACCACAGAACTATTATTTACAGGACCCCTGAGCAATTGCTTCCACATTAGGCTAAGACAAGAAAACAGTTGCTGGCATTACCAATAATATAAATCTGCCTGATACGAGCAGGCTGGAAAACTCAAACACCTGCAGTGCAAGAGATGGCTTCTAGGGAGGACCTTCCTCACATCACACAACTTCCATGGGACACAAAAGACATAGTTTTGACAGCATGTGAGTAGATAAGAGCATTTGCTGCCTGCAAATGAAATGCTAAAATGGTAGAGAGGTGTCATAAGCCATCCTGCATTAGGATGTTGCATAAATTAATAAGTGGTTTCAGAATGTCCCTCATTACCCACAACAAGGAGCCGATGTGCTACTTTCGTAACATAGGCTTAAGGTAGATTTGAGGACTCAGAATAGAAAAACATCTGCCTTTTGTATTTATGGTGCTCTGTCTTCCTCGTTTTCCCCATTTTTAGACTCCAGCTGACAACCTCAGGTGCCTGATTTGGGCTTTCTGACTACTATCACATCCAAAATCTTCAGTGATTCAGAGTGCTACTGACAAACCCAGTACTTTGTACAGTACTGGAGAGAGGTAATTTCCATGCTTAAGTGCAGGTGTGACTAGGACCCATTGCTGTATTTTCTGTTTTATCTCCACAAGCAGGAAGAGTAAATAATTCTGAAGCACTGAGAAAAGCCTTTCCTACTGCCCTGGGTCTCATCTACCATGGATTTATCATAGAATTACCTTTTTTTTTTTCTGTGGGTTTTGTTTGCTTCAGAGATTGGACTGAATTTTCTTTTTCTTTCTTGTCACAGCTGAGGAGCAAGTGAACATGAGCAGCTCTTCACTCAAGACTATTTCCAAAAGTATGTTATGCGCAGGAGCATTGCTGAAGTATTTGCTCCTAGCTCTCTTCACTAAAAGAGTGCACAGCACTGGTAGTAAAGAAGGGTCTATGATACATAATTTTTAACTGGCTTATTTAAGAGAAGCCATTTACTTACTCCTTATCTTGGTCACCAATTTATTTGTACCCAGGCACTTTATCACAGTACAGTTTTGAAATTAAAAAAGAAAATCACCTGAGAAGAATTTGAAGTCCTCAGAGCAAAACGTCCTCAGAAACTGCACTGGGAGGTGGATTCTTTGCTAGATGCAACAGCTCCAAATGGTGTAACAAGAAAAGTCTTGAAAATCATGGACAGTTTTTCTGTGAGTTAGACATCTGAAAAAGAACGGCAAAGAAACTGAGAAAGGCTTTGAACTTTACCTTTCTCACAGCAATCTCTAGTTTCACTGTTATTAAGCATAAGTTTGAATGTGTACATTCTGAGGGGGGTGGTTTAATAACTGAACAGTGTCTTGAAATCATCAAGGGAAGAAAATAACATGGATGGAAAGTGAAACTTCACTTGGTATTTCCTTATCAATTAGTCTACCTAAAGTGAAAACCTCAGAGACGAAAATAAACAGCAGAAGGGTTGGAGAAATCAAAACAGAGGATAAACGAAAAAAGAGACATGTTAACGGGTGACTTTAATGAGAAAGAGGCTGTTACTGTACTGAGAAATCAGAGGCTGCTTTATAACATCCTCTGACACGATATCTGAGGTCATACACACGTTATGTGCCTTACTTGAATTGTCCCTTGAAATCACTTTTGCTGTTCCATGATGTAAAGTATTAAAAAATGAAATGAAAAAGGAATGAGATGTCAGCATAGCACTATGAACTGAAACTTGTTTTTCAGCATTTTATGGGAGGAGAAGACATGTCACCTGAAGCTGAAAATCTGAGACAGTGAAAATTAGTTTTGAAACAAGTATCACGAATGAAACACTTGTTAAACTACCTGAGCACTGGAAAGTGAGTCGATTAGTGCTAGCACTGACACAATGAGGTTATTTTACCAAGCTGATAGACTGTAGTGATTATCAAATGTGCTCAAGGAAACGGAATCTTGTATTGAAGCCAATCCCAGCCAGAACATGATTAGCTTTTAGAGCTCAAGCTTGATTACCTTGACTTGATTAGGTAAAAACCACCACAAAACTAACACACACTTTGAGCCATCAAATGATCTTTTTTTCCCGAGTGGTTTCAGTTAGGGTGAATGTCAAATGAGAAAGCAACATAAGACTGGCATAGACAACAATTCTTCTTCATGAGATTTGCATAGAACTACTTGTGAAAAAGTTCCAGATGCACTTTTTTTATCAAGCTTTTATCTTAAGAACACTTGAAAGATGTCAGTAAATTGATGGAAGTCTTTTAAACATTCTAGAGAGACGCACAAAGGAGGAGTTTGTGTATATGGAGCCTGCAGTGGTGCTTCTCGCTTAGACTCAAAACTGCTTATAGAAGTTCTTGTAAGATCATGTGTGGTGACTTTCCAAAGAGAGAAAGAAGTGCTGCAGTCTACTATGAAGAGCCTGTGCTGTATCCATCTTTCTCTTATTTCTCCAGGTAAAAATTGTGTTTTGTCTGAGAACATTGTCTGGTAAATGGATGATGCCTGCTTACAGTTGTTAGTTGTTGTATTAAATATACAGCTGGAAGACTACATGGATTTATAGGTAAGGAGATACTAAAAATCATTTATGTATCATGAGATATTCAGAAGCTGTCTGAACATGGTCCTGACCTACATGTCCCCACTTGAGCAGTGGAATTGGACAAGATGACCCCCCCCTTCCAACCTAGACCACTCTCTGATTCTATGATTTTGTCTGATCAGTCTTTGCTCTGAAAACATGCTTATGACACACTCTTATGAGGAAAATACTAACAACGTGAGCCTTAATTTTTAGTGTCAGCCCTCCCTTTTAATACAGACGTGAATATTCTTGCAGATAGCTACCTGCTGGTGTCTATCAATTTGATTAGTGTCATCAAAGTCTGGACTGATATTAGATCCCAATGAAACTTAATGAGCCCATTTCTCATTTACACCCTGTATATCTAACATGGCTTCACAGAACTTTCTGAAAACATCACATTAGTTTGCGTGCAGATGCCCTTTGTAAGCCAGTGTATGTCTGCACACTGTGTACACTTCTGAAAAGGTAAGCAAGCACTTCTCTATACCAGCATTTCTGCTGGTTTACATGGCTGCTGTGGAGCCATTGCACTGAAAAGACCAATCTGACATAGAAAGAGCCTTGTGCTACTATCAGTGTGAGGCTGGAGCTCTGCTAGAACTCACATTGCCACAAGGGTGGATTGGTGCATGATAAAAGTGGGATCCCTCTCATTCCCACAGATCTCCCACACAGGCAGAGCTGAGGCCCAGCTCTCAAACCAGTGCAATTTAAACAGTACTCTTTAGATAACTATTTTAGTGCCTGACATTGACAGATATTAATCACAAAAAGCCTCTGCTGGAGACATAGGAAGAACTGGAGCTCAATCCAACCAGATATAGTATTTTAAGTAAACTGCATCAGCAGCACATTTTTGCGCATGGTGATTCCTTTTGTACCTTTGCATACGATATTTGCAAGCTGGGAATTGCCACTACTCAAAAGAGACAACAGAGTTCAAGCAATTAACACATCCTTTAAATTGATAAGGTCTCCTCATTTTTAAAAGGTATTGATGTTTTACATTGCAAAGAAAAGGTGGTCATAGATTTCACAAGCATTCCTGCAAATAATTCTTCCCATTTTTTCTGTTACCTATCATGATGGTAAAAAACGGTGGTTTCTGATTGTCACTGGGCAAAAAAAGAGTAGTATTTTAGGGATATTTTTGAAAGTGTTCTGCTTTCCCCTACTTTACTTTTGTGGGAAAAATTATTCTAAATGTAATTGGAATTTAGAGCTGAAAGTATCTTGATTTGTGAATGTTGGTGCTACAGTCAGCAATCATCAGCTTCTTCTAGGTAAGTTCTTGAGGACATTTGTCACCCTGGGATATGGGACTTCAGCAAATTGCATTAACATGTTGCATGTACCTGCACTTTGTCAATTAACCAAAATTAGGACAATTATGAAGAAGACAATTATGTCTCCTTCCCCTGGCAACCACATTCTCCTGATACTTCAAAATACATGGATGTCTGAGCAGTGCTGATTACTGTTGAGTGGTTCTACAGTGTTTAAACAAGGTTATTTTTGGTGTTTGGGCTGTTTGGGGTTTTTATGTGCATGAAGAGCTTAGTTTCAGCATGGCCCTAGGAAACCATTGTTTCTAGGAATGCTACCACCAACTCTGCTTTAAAAAATGCAAAAAAAGAATGCAGCAGTGAAGGTTTTTATCACTAATGATAACTGCTTTTTATTTATATGTCTGAAATACAGCTTGCATACTCTCTAATGTAGTGATTCTTATACATGTTCCAACTCCCACGCAGAGATACCTACTCCAAGTACAGTTGCACAGAACAGTGAGCTGCCTACACTTACAAAAATGCCAGCTGAACTCGTGTTTTCCTGCAGGCTGTTTTTAGTAGGCATGAAGAAATGTAGTATAGACTTGTCATGGGCTTTCTAAGAACACTCCAATATTCTCATGCCTTAATCTGGCTGGATAGTAAGGCCCTATCTAGACTGACTTTTTGCTCTACATGTAGTTTAGCCATATTTCTCTGGCCAGTGGGCAATGAGGATTGTTTTACAGAGACTATCAGGACATTTTTTGAAGTAATTTCTTAGTAACTAGCAATCCATTTCAGGAGCTGGAGGTGGTCTAAACTGAACTCCAAAGTGACCATTAACTTTTTCTCTTTCAAGTAGAGCCAGTGATTATTTTTTCCCTCTGAGTGCACACTTGCATATCTTTACAAACAGTGCACTGTTAGATTTCTACCCTGCCATAAACTCTGACTGTAATACCTCATCTGCTACTGACCTCAAGTGAACTCCGAGGAGAGGGAACAGTAATAAAGCAAAACCCAGCAAACAGTGTGAAGCTTTTGTAAGATCTTATATAACTGAATTGGCTATATTGGGAACTTGCCTTTGGTTTTAATTATAGATTTAAGGGTGCACTTTTCGGGCTCTATGCCATCTCTTTGCTCCCTCCTTTCACTCTTGATTTGCTTTCTATAATACGCAGCCACTACAAAAAGGATGTTTTTCCCCCTTTCTTTCAGGAAGTGGGGAGGCTGACAGAAGTTCACTGGGGGATGGGGAGGTCTAATGTGTTAATTGTCTCGTGTGTTGCTCTGGTCTTGGGCTTTAGCCTGGTCCCTCCAGAAGGTTTCAAAGGCCAGCTTGTGAGACCCCAGCAAAAATCCGTGGAGTCCCAAAACTAGACCATGTCTTTTCCTAAATGCAGGGTTGAGTGACAAGTACCTCTTTGAGCTTCCAGAAAAGTGTCAAGAGAATGACAATCCTCAATTCTCTCCAAATCTATCTCTTGCTCACATCTGTATCTCAGAATACACAAGAATTACTTTCACAGAAGCAGGGCCAGGGCGGATGCAAAGCAAAGAGGTCTTTCGAGGGCCTCGTAAGGCATTAATGAAAACTAAGTAGTGATTTGAGGAAACAGGTCTTATATGCTCACATTTAAAATACAACTAAGTCAGTTTATATTGCTTGAACATCACTTCTCAGCTTAATCTTTAACTGCATTGGTATTCATCTTCCTGGTGACTTCTACCTCTCTAAGCATCTGTTGTGTCAATTGTTACATGTGCATAGGGAAAGAGGCTTGTAAAGCAATAGGGGAGCTGTCCCTCAGAATTATCCTGGCTGTGCTTTAAAGAGTAGACACCTGCTGCCTCATTTGAGGGGTCCCAAGCTGAAAAATCAGGTTTCTGAATCTGTTATTTGTATCAGGAGCTGTTCCCCTGAAGTTATAACTGGAGTTAACCTCCTTACTGCATCCAAGAAGGTGCTGATATTGCTGGTGGCTATCCCCCCTGATCCAGCTTAGATATCTCAAGCTTTTATTTTTTCCTTCTTGTGAATTGTCAGTGGCTAGTAAAACCAAAAACGGCGTCACAGTGTGAGCTGAATTCCTTTAAGTCAGTGAACTGAGCAGTCCTAATCTCCACTATCCATAATAAGTAGAGGGGGTCTGGGATGCAAGGGTAATAAAGGTACTGGGGAGGAGAGCAGGGCACCTGCACAGCTCAACATAAAGGCAACCCAGATCCAATAAGGCTGGCCTACAGCCTAGATCTAAAACAATCTGCTTGCCTTCCTGCTGTTCTAAAACCCAGGTAAAACATAGCAGGGAATTAAAAGCTCACTGTATTGATAGCTTTTTTGGTCCTAGAAGATCCATAACATTGTTCAGTCCATCTCTTATATTACAAATGCAACTGCATATCTCCTAGTTACCCTTTAATTGAGACGAAGTTAGAAATATAGCTAAGAAGGACAGCAAAACTTTGGAAAGATGGTAAATCTGATTTTCCTTTTCAACAAAAAAAGGCTGCTCCTAACCTAACTGCTGCTGAACAGACAAAATCTCAATCCGAAGGCCTTACAGAAGCCACTGCAAAACATAGTCTAGGCTCCTTGATTTATACATGTGTGTATCCTCTGCAGCAGAGTAGGTGTTCATCCTTGCTCCCAGCTCTCAAATGATGTCGCTGCATCCAGTTTTGCTTTTTTGATGTTTGCTTCTCCCAGGATGTGACTCAGTGCTTTTCAGAAAGCAGAAACTTTGTCTGCATCATTCTACCTGCCAATCCTTTATATCACGTGCTTGATCCAAAGTTGGGAGTGACTCATTTTTCTCATCCAAACACATGTGCACGCAGTGAGCTGTCTCCCATCTAATGGCCCTTCGCATATACTTGTACGTAGGGTCATGACTGTGTTTTGTTTCACTGCCCATCTGTAGAGGACAGTCTCTGTCTGTCTCAGGATTATATTGTTCTGAATGATTTAAAAGCTTTGCAAGTGAAAGCAAATGATCTATGTTGAGGTTTTTTCCCCTTCCTCCCTCACTAGCTAATTTTGTATCTATTATTTACTGTGGGAAAGCTATGCCAAACAAGCAATCTCTGAGGCTCATTTTCATCCTAAACTGTTACAGAAGTAAACTTGAACCTATTTGTGGAATATTTGCACACCTCTCACTTCCCACCTTACCTTCGGTGTTTGCCCCATATGTGAAGATGATACAGTTTTAGTGGGTTCTTTTAAACTGTGGGGAGACAATTGCGGTGGGGCTAAGGAACTCAAATTTATATATGAATGACTGAAATGAATGTCTGCAGTGCAGACATCTGAACTAGTACACCTCTTCTTTTGCCCTTTTAGAGTACATGGAAAGATGCAAGCAATTCCCAACAGTAAATTGGCTCATCCCAAATTAGACATCTGCCACAGATCACATGACTTGCAATTAAGAAAAGCTGAACAGTTTAGATATAGATGTCTACATTTTGTAGATGTCTAACATTATGGTGCCTTACATAACCTAAATGTAGTAAAATAACTGGTAAATAGAGTGGAGGTGCTGCAAACCAGATGTATAAATTACCTTTATAAGTGTTATAAGATTATAACACTGTCACGAAAGAGTAGCATTTTAATTTTAGATTTTAATTCCTCTACTTAGAATTCATCGTACCTTAGCTTCAGATATAGGCATCTCTGTATTGATCTAGATAGTTACACAGCCAAGTGCAAAGTTATATACTGATAGAATAGAATCATAGAATAATTTATTTCGGAAAAGTCTCTTAAGGTCATAGAATCCAACTGTTAACCCAACACTGCCAAATCCACCACTAAACCATGGCCCTGGGTGCCACATCTACATATCTTTTAAATACCTCCAGGGATGCTTACTCCACCACTTCCCTGGGCACCCTGTTCCAGTGCTTGACAACCCTTTCAGTGATGAAATTGTTCCTAATATCCAGTCTAAACCTCCCCTGGTGCAGCTTGAGACCATTATCTGTTGTCCTATCACTTGTTACTTGGGAGAAGACACCAACTCCACCTCACTACAACCTTCTTTCAGGCAGTTGCAGAGAGCAATAAGGTCCCCCCTGAGCCTTCTCTTCTCCAGACTAAACACAGCCAGTTCCTCAGCCATTCCTCATAAGACCTGTGCTCTAGACCCTTCACCAGCTCAGTTGCCCTTTCCTGGACCAGCTCCAGCACCTCGATGTCTCTCTTTTAGCGAGGGCCCGGATGAACACAGTTAAGATTCAAGGTGCAGTCTCACCAGTGCCAAGTACAGGGGGATGATCACTGCCCTGACCCTTCTGGCCACACTGTCTAATACGGGCCATGATGCTGTTGACCTTCTGAACCACCTGGGCACAAGCTGACTCGTGTTCAGCACTGTCAGTCAGCAACCCTAGGTCCTTTATCATCAAGCACCTTTCCAGCCACTCTTCCCCAAGCCTGTAGCGTTGCCTGTGGTTGTTGTGATGCAAGTGCAGGACCTGAAACTTGGTCTTATTCAACATTGTGCAGCCAGCCTTGGCCCATCGATAGAGCCTGTCCAGATCCCTCTATGGAGCCTTCCTACCGTGCAACAGATCGACACTCTCACCCAGCTTGGTGTCATCTGGAAACCTGCTGAGGGTGCACTCGATACTCTCATCCAGATCCTTGACAGATACTAAACAGAACTGACCCCAGTACTGAGCCCTGGGGAACACAATTTGTGACCAACTAGCTGGATTTAACTCAATTCGTCACCACCCTGGGCTCAGCCATCCAGCCAGCTTTTTTACCCAGCAAATAATACTCCCATCCAAGCCATGAGCAGCCAGTTTCTCCAAGAGAATTGCTGCTGGAAATGGTGTCAAAGGCTTTTCTGAATTCCAAGTAAAAGACACCCGCAGTCTTTCTCTCATCCACTAAGCAGGTCACTTTGCCATAGAAGGAGATCAGATTAGTCAAGCAGGACCTGCCCTCCATAGACCAATGCTTACTGGGCCTGATCATCTGGTTGTTCTGTACGTGCTGCAGGATGGCACTTAACATGATCTGCTTCATAACCTTTCCCAGCACTGGGATCTAGTTCCTTAGATCCAACCTTCTGACCCTTCTTGTAGAAGGGTGCCATGTTTGCTAGCCTCCAGTCATCTGAGACCTCCCCTGTTATCCTGGACTGCTGATAAATGATGGAAAGTGGTTTGGTGAGCACTTCTGCCAGCTCCTTCAGTGCTCTGGGGTGGATTCCATCCAGCCCCATAGACTTGTCTCACAGACTTCTCCAGCAGCTTCTTAGAGCTGCTGGCAGGATCAGGAAAGAGGCAGATGGCATTTACCACTAGCACATATTTGCACTGGAAGGACTTCATTGGTAGGACTCAGACTGACTACAGAGGCTGAATGTATCTCCAGGCACATATGGGAGAATGGAACAAGAGGAGAGCAAGATTTTCAATCCTGAGCTCACTAAAACATGTAACAGACCAGTGGGATGGCTATGATCCTTCCTATCAGGAAACATAATGTTTTCTACTACAGTGCTACTGTACTGTGCTAAGACCCAATAGAGAAGGCCCAACTTCCAGTCCCTAAAATATTGGCAATAAAGAAGGGAAGATCTGACCCCAGAAAAAACTAACATAAGGAGGCAAATTTTTTGTAGAAATGTTTAACTAATGCCTCGGATAGCTGAGGATATCCGCTTCCCTCTTCTGTCTCTCAGCAACCTGAGGACAATGAGCTGAGCGCCTGTCTGTAGAAAACAAACCTTGACAGTTTGAATTTTGATGATGCTTTCAATGGTGAGCCAAACTTCTCACTGCTTGTTGTATAAAATAATCTACTTTGCTTCTTTTTGTGCTCTAGGGACCTTGGAAATAGATGGCCTTGGAGGAGCCCATTTCCCAAGAGAAGCAAAAAAATCTGAGGCCTTTTGGGGCTCTCTTGAATGAGTCATTGGCAATGTGTTTAGGTACTGTTCTAGGAACAGGCCAGAAAGCAGATGGCATTTCAGAGCGTGACAGTCCTGCTGCCTTATTCCAGAAGTGGCACGTCCTGTGCTGGTCTGATCACAATGTACATCTTCCTGCTAATTTACTGGGGTAGTGAGGATGGGCAGAGCCAAGGTGTGAGGAATATCCATACCATGCAGCAGCACTTTCAACACCTACCTCTCTTCCTCCAAAGATGACCAGAGACAGGAAGCACCTTTTATTTCCCAGCTGGCCTTGTGTTACTTCATGTTTCAATACCTCTAGGCAATATTTTTTTCTCCTACTTAGAAGACTGTCTTTTCTTTAATCCATTTATTCCTCAACTGCCTTTACCCTAGTATTCACACTCCTGGAACACTGTAATGAATCTGCTCTTACTTATTGTTAAATCAATGTAATTTTTTTACAAGACAAACTAGAAACGGGTGGCACAAAGTTATTCGTCTCTTGTTCTACCTCTTCTTTTCAGGAAGCATGAAATATTTCTGAAGTTCCTGTGTCTGAGAGGAATTCAGATAGAGTAAGCTCAAAGTAAGCATTAAAAACACTGCCTAAGAGACCCTCACCATTTTTTGTCTTCCAGCAAAAGCTTGTTTTCTTGGTGACAGCAAGAAAGGGTACCAGGACTTTCTCAGTAGAGTTGTTTGGAGGAATGAAGGTAGACATGGTTGAAACACACCAACATAAGATGACATTTGTTCATTTAATGTCACATTTTTCTGCTTCATATTTTATCACCTTTATGATATCAAAAATATTACTTTTCTCTTAAGTTTTTGTTGTATCTCAATTCCATATCAATTATAAATAGGATAACATAAACCCCCATGAATATATCTTGTAAGTATTAATATAAGGCTGTTTTCCCTTACCTTTTAAAGCGGAAATCTGAAATTCTATAAGGAGGCAAGATATCAAGGTAGACACATGAAATACAGTAATAAAAGATTAATTTTATGCATCTTTGTTCTGTTTCAAGAAACCTTTTAGGTTTGCAATTAGCAATATACTGAACTCCTGGGGATATTAAGGGGAAGGGACACTATTTCTATAATAGACCTTGGAACCACAGAGTTCTCCAGGAAATGTTGCTTCAGTTGCTGCAGACCTTTTCAGAATTTGGTTCTTGCTACTAACCTGTTTTGTGCCATGTTTGTGACAGACCTTTGAGTGCCATTTCACCACTCTTGAGAATCCTGATCACTGCTGAATAGGATGATATCAGTACAATTGGACACTAATTTTAACAAGCTGTATTTGCAATTCAGGGCAAGAGAAATCATAGAATCATAGAATGGTTTGGGTTGGAAGGGATCTTCAAATGTCTTTTAATCCAAGCCACCTGCAATGAGCAGGGACATCATCATCTAGATCAAGCAGCTCAGAGCCTTGTCCAGCCTGGCCTTGAACCTCTTCAGGGATGGAGCATCTATCACCTTTCTGATCAACCTGTTCCAGTGTTTCACCACCCTCATCATAAAAAAAAAAAGTCCTGAAATACCTTGGCTCTCCATTTCAATATTGGTTTGGTGAGTCTTCTACATTACAACCATGCACAAACACATATGATTCTGTTGTGAGAAGATGGCAACGCCTACACTCACTACATGGTTTGGAAATTAAGTCCCCAGATGGCCATACCATTCAAAGTTCACTTGCATTCTCTGTCACTTCACTACCAGTCAGTTTCCCAATTAACCACAAGTTGTTAGAGTGTGAACCTGCTTTTATAAAACTGCAAAGAAGAGAAGGGGAAGAGGACAGCTTCTCCAAAGGCCCTGCAGTTTACCTGGCCCCAGTGAACCCACTCTGTGGGAGTTCATTCCTGGGATGTGCTCGTGGGGTCTGCTGACCACAGCATTGACCACCTGTAGCAGCAAGTGGGTGAGGACATCTGTCCTTCAGAAGCAAAGTGGGACCACCAACTGTTCCCACAGGTCAATGAACACAAGCCTCAAGATAGCTATAGGTATTCCTCTCCACTGACCTGCATGATTTGGTCTGGTGACCTATTGCTTTTGTTTATTTTTTCAGGTTATAAAATATGCTTATCCAGCCTCTATAAGCAAGTGTGCAAATGTGACAGCTGCAGTTCAAGAAATCCACTCAAAAAATGCCAATTAAAGGGCTGCTAACCAACCCTCTCTTGCATTTAAGCACCTGAACCCTTCTAAACATACTTAGAGGTGCAGAATTGCACATCCTATTAAGAACCTGCTAAGCTAGCCTGGCATGCTAGCTGGATTTTTAAGGTACTCTGTGAAGATTATAATCCTTTTCTTTCTGGGAGTAACTTTGTTACCCCAGGGAAGCAGCTGAGTCAAGATTATGCCAATATTTCCAGCATAGCATTTGCTCTCCTTTTTTTAAGTCTTGATGAAAAAGAAGTCATTTTGCCCCATAATAAAGAACCAAATAACTTCTCATGGCAGCAGATTTTGTTTATGATTTTCACACAAATATTTTTGACAGCGTTGACATTTTTACAAGCATGACTAACTACACATTTAGCCAGCTTCATTTTTTATTTTTTGGCACTTAAATGTGCTAATGTAAGCTGAAGAATTCCTAAGTCTGGCAAGCAGTTTACTACATGCCAGGGACTGTTTTCATTTAGTTTAAAAGAAAAGTAGATGGCCAAAATACTGAATTTGAAATGGCACTTGCTGAGCTTGCATTGCGGTGACTGTAACAAGGATATTCTTGTCACAGAAGACTTTCTTGGGAGCCGGTTTCATTCAAGATTTTGTCCCACACTTTGTGGGGTTGAGCATAGCACAAATTTTACAGTTTTTGTCTCTTTCTCTGTGAAATGAAGTTCACTACCTATTTCTCAGGAGTATCCACAGCTTAAATCATTAGTACTCATGTAGTGCTGAAGGAGGAAGGGACTTCCTCCCTCAAGGAGGCCAGATTGGACAGAGCCTTGAGTGACACGGTTTAGTGTGAAGTGTCGCTGTCCATGGCAGGGGGGCTGGAACTTGATGATCTTAAGGTCCTTTCCAATCCAAACTTTTCTGTGATTCTATGGTTCTGTGACTTTATAGCCTGGAAAGAACAAGACGGTGCCTGCACACAGCATGGATATGTATGCTGCTCACAAGTCTGCCTGTACATGGCTTACCTAGGGCAGCCAGCTAAGGACACAGATATCTTTACTTGTCTGGAAATTTATTCATGTACCTCACTACGACATCAGTCCTGCTCCTTGTGAATGCCATTACTTCTCAGGAAGCCATCTCTGCCAGCTGAGGGAATACCCTGTGCTTTGCAAATCACCCAGCAGCACTCTTACTAAAGGAAATGTTTCTCAAGACTTTCCTGTCTATGCCTAGCGGTTTCTCTGGTGGTGATACCGTACTTGCAATATGTGTGCTCCAGAGATGATTCCTGCCAGCACCTCCCACACAGCAGTCTCTAAGAAATCTGTTTATTGTCTGGTTTAAATACTAAGAAGATGAGTGGTGGCTTGGAAGCTGTTGTGTGCAAACTGCAGACAAATGCTGCCATTTATGGTAGCATCATCTGACAGTTTTAATGAGTGTGATAGTTGTGTACTACTGACCCCACAAACCCCCTGTCACTATACCCTGCTGCCACCTTTAGCTCTCTCTGCCCACTCCAGTATCTTCTGCTTTTTAGTATGCCAGTACTACACTCCTGCCGAGCAGCTGCCTGTTTGGCATGACTCATGCCAGACATTTGGCTATTTTGGACAAATGGGGATATGCTATTTATCCCAAATAGCTGCCTGCCTTGGATAGCACATTGTCCTGAATAATGGAAGTACTATCAGCCTAAAAATCCTTTAGAATTCTTCTGCCTGCACCCACATATCGTGGCAAAGAGACCAGGAAATAACATGCAAATAACTATTAATACAGCAGATGATGAGAGACGCACTTTTGAAAGGATAACTTGGTTTGACTTGGTTATAACCCCACCAAAGCCAATGAGAAGACCTTCTGTGGGAGGAGGGTCTGTCTGGCAGTTCCTCCAGAGCCCTTTTCCCAAAACCTGTAGAACTCCTCATAAAAGGTGCAAGTATCCTGGTGGCATCCCTAGAACCCCATCATTGGTCCCTGGCTCCCTGCTGGCAGGCTTGCCATGAAAATTTTCTGGGTATTTTTAAGCAGTTGATTCACAGACTGGAAAGAGCAACTTTGGGTTTGAAAATCCAGAGGAGATGTTCTGTCACAGGCAAACACAAAAAAACCCCCATACAGTTTCAACAGAAACTAGGACTTCCTTTGCCCTGTTTACCTGAGCAAGTCATGTACAGGATGTGAAATCCAAGGGGTGTCCTGACAGTTTACAGTATTTTATCACAGATTAAGGGGAAATTAAAAAAATTTCTGTCTTGACACAGACCCTCCTGGGAGAGTTTTAGATTATTTTGTTTTTCACTAGGTTTCACGATCTTTTAATGGACCCATTGTAAATTATAGTAAATTGTTGCCTAATGATGAATGATGTAGTTTGCTAATGATGGATTTGGTTACAATGTGTGTGTTGTAGAGTGAGAGATGATTTTATCTTGTTCTGATGAAGGACTCAGGTTACCAAGAAGTCTTTATACCTCTTTATCAACCCATCAGTGGAGCCACCAGTTTAAAACATGTGTTTTCTACTGTCTCCTATAATTATTACTGATCTTTAAAGCAGCTTTTAAACCTGGTTATTGCAGAATACTGTTGCCTTATTGGCCTGTTTGTCATTGTTTGCATCAACAAAATTTCCATCAGTTTCAGTGTGTGGAGAGGAGAAGGTTTGGTATGAAAAAAATGTGGGGTGAAACCTGAAGAGAGATATATAGATGTACCAACAGCAGGGCCAGTGCCCTTGGTGAACGTAAGGGTAAACTGGTGATAGCTAGTGGTGGCAGCTAGCAAAGAGAATCTGTAGTGAATAGAAGACTCTCACATGGATTAACCTGCCAGGCTTGGTTTTGGAATCTGTTCTGCATTCACTTCAATGACTCATGGGCATCCCTTCCCCCTCCTCATCTCGCTTCAACAGTTTTCATTTATTTTGCTTGTGCTTGGGAAAATATGTTTTACATTTCTAACATCCTTTATCATTTCCTGAGATTTAGTGTGTTATTTTATGTGTTAACTAGAAGGGTAATCTTTTTTGTTGTTGTATTTGTAATCTAATTGGGAACCATGCCAATTTCCTATCAAATTAGATCCCTATAATTTGGATACATGTATATGTAGCTAATTTACTATTGTTCACTAGTGTTATTCTGTCCACTGATTTTTCTTTCACAAACACTTTTTTAAAGGCAATTTTAATAAAACTGTTTAATATTTTATGTTTTTCTTGCAGTCATAAAAGAAAAAATCTTTGCCTGCAAAATCCTTTAAAATTTTATCCTTAAATTATGAAATGAGTAAATGAAAATGTGGCATTAAAAGGCACTATTTTGCAAAGGTGTGTGAGATCTGCCACGATCATCTGTCTGCCTGTGACAATAACCAGGAGAGTTCTGTATCTGCCATCACTATCTTTTTTTGCAAAAAGGTTACCAGTGTACTATACTCAATACAGAATTTTCAGATTTTGAGACATTTTATTATTGTAGTAACGGCTATTGCTGTCCCTAGCACAGACCCTGTCAGAAGGTTTAAAAAATTTATGCTTTGGTTTGTGAAAAAAAAAAAAGGGGGGGGGGGGGAAGAGAAAAAAAAAACAAAGGTCAAAACTTTTAAAATGTCACTTCTTCTACAGTTTTGCATAGAAAATACATTGAAGCAGTGGGAGGGCTCCTTGCCCATAGAAACAGGCTGTAAGAAAAGAATGTTATCCTGCTGCTGTAGTTTCCACTTTCACTGGCAGCTGCGGGCTGAGCAGAAAAGCACTGTGGGAGCCTATTGTTACCCCAGCTGGGTAATAGTTTTCTTATTTTACAGTCAGCAACCGAGGGGGGTTGGGGTGTCTCAGCAAAGTGCCTGAAAATATAACTCCTGCAAACA